ACTAATAAGAGTGCCTTTGTTCAACTTTGCCATGTAAACCTACCCTTTTAGGAAACATGCTGACCGCGGTCACAAACGCGCAGTCAACAGTAATTGCAAAAAAACGCGTGTGTGGGTAAAATTTCAGGGTGCATAGAGAGATATTGGCATTAAGTTCAGTTTAACTTTACCCAAACGTAAGGACTGGATTTATTCAGTATGTAATTGCGCTGAATATCCTCATTTTTTCTTTAGGATCCGCACAAATATAGGACCCCAGCTGGGCACTTAGACATTTGGATGAAGCCATTGTTTCACAATCAGTGCCAGTAGCAAGTGGGAGATTAAAAACGATAGAGTACAGGCATCACAGCTTACACTGTAGGATAAGATTAAGTGTACAAAACGAAAAGTTGGTAAGTGAACATGTAACAAAATTGGTAACACTGTGAAAACAACGAGGATGGCCTGATATTTACCAAAACACTATAATTTCATCTAGAAGATTTTGCTCCTTTTCCTGGCCCCTCAAAACACACGTACAGGCACTTCAAGGGAAATCAGTTATGAGCAATTTCGTGGAAGCGGACAAACTAAGATTGAAACCCCGTTCGATTGGTAGTACACAGCCTTTCCGCTTTATTGGAGTTCTTTGCGGCAATTTGCCTTCAACATGGAACCGCCTCTTAAATAACCCCCCTGTCAGCACCAGCCCTTCCTAGCCCCATAAAAAATGTCAGGGTTAGAGGGGACTATGAAAGGGCCAGGGGGGCTGTGGAAGGGCCTGTGACGGAGCATTCAACATGACAGCCCACCCTGACCCCACCAGCGAAAAAAAATGTGCATGGGACGCCAGATTTCCACCCACTTTTTGCACTCCTTTAAACTATCGACCTGTATGATGAGTCCCCTGAGGCGCAGACATATAATACCTGCCGGCAGAAGTTTCAGAGCTCTGAATAGGCATTTCACGTTCAGCGGATTAATTGCCAACTCCTGTCGACGTTGAGGGAACCTCAAACTCAGGCTCTTCAGTGTCCTCATAATATGCCTTCATCTGGCGCTTAATGCGCTTGTATATGGTGGTTCGGTGAGAGCCACAGTAATTACGCTTCATAATTGCTTTGGATATTCAGTAAAAAACGATACAAACTTGTATAAGTTGACTATGAACATCAATGCTAACTAGTACATAGATAGACATACAAGTCGACGACTTGAACTTGTTTGTGAGTAAATACCCTAACAATTAGCTTAAGATACATAAATTAACTAAGACAGTTATTAAGAGCATGAAAACAACATTGGTTGACGCACGATATTATCCGCGACCCGTGGGCGTAAACGCATGCTTTTTCCATGATTTATAAGGACTTTTGATAAATTAGCTCCTTTTAATGCCAAAGAAGGTACTATGAGTGGTGCTTTTGAAACATAACTTTTGATGCAAATACGCTTCAAAATGCCTCAATCCAGAGGGGGATCTGGCTCCACCCAGCCTCTTCCAAGCCCCGCCTATGAAGGGGCCATGTGCTGGCAGGGTCGGATTCGGCGGTTAGACCCCCTTACTTAAAAACTTGCCTTGTTTCTCGACTATGCGCTTGAAGTAATCTCTCAACTGGAAGCCAATATAACTCCCAGGGCGTCTTCAAACATTGTATGCATGAATACTTTGGAGAAATCGGTCGTACTTTAAGTTACATATACATGAACAAGTTTACGTCGATTCATTGCCTCACTGGAGGCGGTATGCTTTCTAAGGGCAAATGATGTCGCAAACAGGCGACCATTTACCAGTATCATAGCCGTGGATTACTAGGATGGTGTGCGTCCGGGTAGATGTTTGTGTTATCAATTCGTTTTTATAATTTTGCGCGGTAGTTTAACTGCGGCCTTATGAAGGAAGCAAGTAAAGGGTGAAGTTCGCAGTATTTGCGTCAAAGTGAAGCCGTTGGTTTTAAATTTGAAGATTAATGGAAGATATTATTTTAAGTGGTTTTTCTGATCGATCTAACGATCTAAGCCCCTGTTCTTTGGTTATCATTCCCTACATACAGGCCTATTCACTTAGGGCTGCCTGTTGCCATCTAATTTTGATTCTACTAGTCTATGCCTGTTGATCACAAGTCGCACTCTGCAATTTGCATTTTGTGCATTCGATTTCCCTCTAACTGTGTAATTTATTTTTTCATATTTGGGCTCTACCTGAAATTAATTCACCTGGTCTGTGAGAAGTGTTCTTACATACAACTTGCCTCGGACAAAATGAGCGTAAAAGGCACAGGTCGGCGACAGCTCACGGCCTCCGTAAGTAAGCATGGCTTGACCAAATCTAAGTCAGAAGTCTTGACTAAATCTAATTCAGAAAGCTTACGTAAATCTAAGTCAGAAGATATAACTAGTCAGTCATCACCCTTTGTAACTGGTAGGCAGCTTAATCTGTCTGTACTTTACAACTGCAATGATTTTATGCTAAGTTTTAGTACTCTGCTCTCAATTCTTAGAGAATTATTCGATGGGAACATCTCCGATATTCCCTCTCAAGAATGTAGGCGTCTTGACTCCCCTGTTCACCTGAACGCCAGTTAATCTAGTGATAGACAAAGGCGTGCCTACAACTTTTTGTTGAAATGTTCCTTGATCTGCTCGGCCAATTGATGTTGCAACCAATTTTCTGTATTCATGTGGTTTCATCTTCAAAATGGCCGATGCTAAACGCTTGTCCTCCCATAGCAAAAACCCACCCATCTTAGTCTAATTATTTTAAACAATCGAGGTTGACACAATCTTTGCCCGTCGAGATCGTGCCACTGCGTACCCGCAAAAATGCAAAATTTTTCCTTTGTCGTGATCTTACCGCTATGGAGCGTAGAATCGGGCCTCCCTTCTCCCGTAAACCTACTGCTTCTCAGTCTAATGCTCACCAACTCGGTCATAATACAAGTGGCCGTGAGGATCCAGCTGGTCCTACTCATGCGACATCTGACTCCCTCCTTCCCCTTACTCCTACATCTCCATCTCACTCATGCCACTTGACGCATTTGCCTGCCCCTAAACTAGCAGCAGCAGCCCCATTTGTCATTTCTTATCCTCTAAGTTTTAGGGAGTTCCCACGTAGGCTTGTTGTTGTGGCCAAGGTTAAGCAATCATCGAGGTGAAAGGCACAGTTCCCGTTCCTCAAAATCCGGTACGCCTGTATAAGATTTCCTGGGATCTGCCCGTACTCAAGAGGAAATATGCTAAGCTCATCAAGTTTGCAGTTTTAAGGGGAAGCCATGAGGACTTACACAAATTTGGTCGCTCTCCTTTGAACATTTTTCAGAAACTTATAATCTTATTCTCAGAGACGGGCGCTACGTCTGGATTCCATATTCCAGATGCGAACGAATGAACGCTCCGGATACTTTTCAAAATAACTTCTGGTCTATATGTAGGAAAGTTTGCTTAATGACTAAAAGAACACCGGTTTCCCTGTTGGCCGTCCGAACGCATTGGGAGGAAGGCTTAAGAGTTGACAAAATGTTCATCCCATGATCTTTTTGTTCGGTCGCATTTGAAAGGCACCTTCCGCCAATAAGGTTATGGTGATCCTCTCCATCGGCTCTGCCATTCGTTTTGAGTGGAATTGCGACGGTTTGGTCCTTCTGGTAGGGTCCGTTCACCATTTTCCCAGTTGGTCGCTCTACATAAGTTGATGTCATCGGCAAAAATGACCCCAGTCAAGTCCAGTCCAGTCCGTTCATACAGTCGTTGACATAAATTAAAAACAGTACTGGTTCGAGCATAGAGCCATGGGGAAGTCCACTCACAACTGGCACTGGCGTTGACTTCGCACTGCCAATGAACACAGACTGTGATCGGTCGGTCAGAAAGTCTTCTACCCAGTTTAATGGGGTGTAGGGGTGTCAGCGGTGAGTTCACGTGAAGGTCGTAGTGGTCGCTCACTTGCTTGCAGATGAGACTACGCCTAACGTCCACTTGCTGGCACTCAACTCTCACCTGTGGCTCCACGTAGCTGGGCTCTGCTCAGCGGCCACACCCCGGGCAACCGCCTCGACCGGCGGGCTAAACCAGGTGAGGGCGGTTACTCCCTGTGCGCGTTGTGCCGCGTGCACAGGTGACTGCGGACTCCGTGGACGGTTGGTCGGATGGAACGCCGCGTCGGCGCCGTCGTGACGAGGCTCTGTCTGGCACACCGCTGGTCAGCCAGTTGGTGGTGGAACGCCGCATCGGCATCATCGAGACGAGGCTCCGTCTGGTACGCCGTGGATCATTCGGTGGGATGGATCTCCGAATTGGCACCGTCGACACGCGCCCATCAGGTGCACCGTAGGAGACCGCAGGCTTGCGGCAATGCCGTAAGCCATTGGCAAATTCGAGTCGTTCTTCCACTGCCAAAAAACTCGTGGCCCACAGTGGAGTTCAGCCGCGCCGGCAAATCAAGCAGCCCTTTTCAGGGTCAGGGCACTGCTTCCTTCGGGGCGGGCCTGGAAAAGCTGGCCTAAAAATTGCTGGGGAACCACGTCGTCTGCTGGCGCACCGTGGTCGCAGACGCAAAACTCACGGTCGAAACAATCAAAATCGAAACAACAACAACAACCATAGTCATTCTCTTCATCCTACCTCTTCTTCATATACCTCCGTCTATTCTTCTGCCTATTCCTCTCCTTCGTCATCTTCTTCTCCACCTCCTTCCCGTCGCCCCACTCGCTTTCCCCAGACTGACAGGGTGAGCCCGCTCACTCTGGCAGCCTGGAATGTTCGTTCACTTTTAGACAATCCGAGGAGCAACCGACCGGAACGGAGGACAGCGTTAGTGGCACGAGAACTGGCGCGCTACAAGGTGGACATCGCCGCACTATGCGAGACCCGATTCTCCGAACAAGGCCAACTGGAGGAGGTGGGTGCCGGCTACACCTTCTTCTGGAGTGGTCGACCCAGGGCAGAGCGACGAGACGCGGGCGTCGCCTTCGCCATTCGGAACGACATCGTGGGACGACTGCCCTGTTTGCCGCAGGACATCAACGATCGCATGATGAGCCTCCGTCTGCCTCTCCGGGGTGGGGGGCGAATTCGCCACCATCATCAGCGCCTACGCTCCGTCGATGACCAACCCCGTCGCCGTCAGAGACAAATTCTACGAGGACCTGCATGCCCTCTTGGCGACTGTGTCGAAGGCGGACAAGTGGATTGTCCTTGGCGACTTCAACGCCCGCGTCGGCACAGACCATACTGCCTGGAGGGGAGTGCTGGGTCCCCACGGTCTCGGCGGCTCCAACGACAACGGCCTGCTTCTCCTCCGCACCTGCGCAGAACACCGCCTCATCCTGACGAACACGTTCTTCTGTCTGCCGGAGTGAGAGAAGGCCACCTGGAGGCATCCTCGGTCGCGCCAGTGGCACCTGCTGGATTATGTCCTCGTCCGGAGACGAGATCAGCGGGACGTGCTGGTGACGAAGGCGATCGCGGGAGCTGATGGGTGGACCGACCATCGCCTCGTCATCTCGAAGATGCGTATTCGCCTACAGTCTCGCAGGAGACCACAAGGTAAGCGACCCCCAGGTAAGCTGAATGTTGCTTTGTTGTCTTTGCCTGCTCACCGTCTTCATTTCAGAAATGAGCTAGCTCAAAGGCTAGACAACCTTCCAATCGCTGCCGCCGACGACGCCGCCGCCGCTGCCGAGAACGCCTCCGTGGAGAACCGCTGGTGTCAACTGCGAGACACGGTCCAGTCGACGGCGCTCGCCGCCCATGGTCGCGCTCCCCGTCAACACCAGGACTGGTTCGACGACAACGACGCCGCCACCAGAAATCTGCTTGCTGAGAAGAACCGCCTACACAAAGCCTACGTAGATCACCCCACTGATGCCACCAAAGCTGCCTTCTACCGTAGTCGCCGCCAACTTCAGCAACGTCTGCGCGAGATGCAGGACGCCTGGACTGCTCGCAAAACTGAGGAGCTCCAAGGCTACGCGGACTGGAACGAATGGAAGAACTTCTTCTCCGCGATCAAAGCTGTCTACGGTCCGCCGACGAGGGGCACTGCTCCTCTCCTCAGCGCGGACGGCAGCACTCTCCTGACTGAGAAGACGTAAATCCTACAGCGATGGGCCGAGCATTTCCGAGGCGTCCTCAACCGCCCCTCCGTCATCTCCGACACCGCCATCGAGCGTTTGCCGCAAGTGGAGACCAACGTGGACCTCGACCTTCCGCCATCTCACCAGGAAACCATCAGGGCCGTACAGCAGCTCTCCAGCGGGAAAGCACCCGGATCGGATGCGATCCCTGCCGAGGTCTACAAGCACGGCGGTCCCCAACTAATGGATCATCTGACTGCGCTCTTCCAGGAGATGTGGCGTCAAGGTGAAGTGCCGCAAGACTTCAACGACGCAACAATCGTGCACCTATACAAACGCAAAGTAGACCGCCAAGTGTGCGACAATCACCGCGGCATCTCCCTACTGAACATCGCCGGGAAGATCTTCGCTCGCATCCTTCTCAACCGCCTCAATAACCATCTGGAACAGGGCCTTCTGCCGGAAAGCCAATGCGGCTTCCGTCGTCATCGTGGGACCATGGATATGATCTTCGCCGCCCGCCAACTTCAGGAGAAGTGTCAGGAGATGCGGACCCACCTGTACTCTACCTTCGTGGACCTGACGAAAGCCTTCGACACGGTGAATCGTGAAGGACTGTGGAAGATCCTGCAGAAATTCGGCTGTCCGTAGCGATTCACTCAGATGGTGCGTCAGCTGCACGACGGTATGATGGCGCGAGTCACGGACAACGGAGCTGTCTCAGAGGCATTCGCAGTGACCAACGGAGTGAAGCAGGGCTGTGTGCTGGCGCCTACCCTCTTCAGTCTTATGTTCTCTGCCATGCTGATGGACGCCTACCGCGACGAACGCCCCGGGATCCGCATCGCCTACAGGACGGACGGTCATCTCCTGAATCAACGGCGCATGAACTTCCAATCGCGCGTATCCACAACCACCGTTCACGAACTCCTCTTTGCCGACGACTGCGCCCTGAACACCACCTCGGAAGAGGAGATGCAACGGAGCATGGACCTATTCTCCGCAGCCTGCGAGAACTTCGGTCTGGTTATTAACACGCAGAAGACGGTGGTGATTCAGCAACCGCCACCCAACTCAGCCACAACCCCCAACGCGCCGCCGCAAATCAGCGTGAACGGAATTCAACTGCAAGTGGTGGAGAACTTCCCGTACCTGGGCAGTACCCTCTCCCGCAACACCAAGATCGACGACGAAGTCGCCAACAGGATCTCGAAAGCCAGTCAAGCCTTCGGTCGCCTCCAAAGCACAGTTTGGAATCGCCACGGTCTTCAACTGAGCACGAAGCTAAAGATGTACAAGGCCGTCATCCTGCCGACGCTACTTTACGGAGCGGAGACTTGGACGGTGTACACGAGGCAGTCACGCCGACTGAATAACTTCCACCTCAGCTGTCTTCGTCGCATCCTGAGGCTGAACTGGCAGAATCGCATCCCCGACACTGATGTGCTAGAACGTACGGGAATCTCAGCATCTACTCCATACTGAGACAAATGCAGCTGCGCTGGAGCGGCCACCTGGTGCGCATGGACGACGAGCGACTACCCAAACGACTCTTCCACGGAGACGTCGCGACGGGTTCTCGCCGTCAAGGAGGCCAGATTCGCCGCTACAAGGATACCCTGAAGTCCTCCCTAAAATGCCTGAAAATCAACCCGACCAACTGTGAAGAGCTCACACTCGATCGACCGACCTGGAAGAGGACAGTGAAGACAGTCGCTGCAATCTACGAAGCCAATCGCATAGCCGCCGCCAAGGCGAAAAGCGAAGCCCGCAAATCACAACTTCGCCCAGTACGCAACGCCGCCGCACAACCGCTTCCAACGTGTCCTCGATTTCAACGGACATTCCGGGCTCGAATCGGACTTGTTGGACATCTTCGAACCAACTGCGCCTCTCGAACTTCACCAACCATCCTCCCCCGCCTGCCTCTCCCTCCTCCTCTCCGCCGCCAGCTAACTCTGACAATTATTCTGAACCACCACTTCC